TGTATATCAAATTATACACTAGCGGTCTATGGGTCAATAAAACAAAACCCTTTTATCAACAGAGGTTTCATTAGTATCCGGGTTAATAAGACAGCTAGTGACGTAACACAGTGGTCCGAGCGAAGCGAGGACCACGCGCGCCCTCTCGGTGTGTGCGCGTGAAGCCGAAGCCCAATTTCAAGTCTGTGTAATAGATGGCTGTTGTATCAGTACGCTCGTATTAGTTTAAGCCCGCCCACATGGGTTCTCTCTGATATTAGCGCGTTTCAGTCACTTTCGGTAATACAAGTAACGTTGGTATTGTTCAGTGAAACGTTACGGTTGGTTACTAGTCTAAACGTCAATTTTTAGTCTGGTCAACGGAGTTCAGTTAACGGGTTGCGTAGTACAAGTAACTAAAACAATAGTTCATACGTTATGTTAACTTTTAAGAGTTGAAACCTACACTTTTTTTGAGTATAAAACCTCAGCGACCCTCTCGGTGTGTGCGCGTGAAGCCGAAGCCCAATTTCAAGTCTGTGTAATAGATGGCTGTTGTATCAGTACGCTGGCTGGCTGTTGTATCAGTACGCAAAGCCTCAGCCTGGCCTCGCTGCGCTCGGCCGCGGCTTTGGCTTTGCGCGCGCGCGCCTCGAGGGCGCTTTATAATGGACCTATGGTACACATCTTTATAAAGTGTTTTTTTGTGTTTCTGCGACAAATCATTGAACCAGTATAACTATTTTTTTAAACACAGTTTAATAGACCGACAACAGATTTCATTCAGAGTTCACATCAAGAAGTTATTGTTAGACATATTGTTATTGTTAACATTTTCTTAACAACATTGCACCCATCAACCGCAAGTTACATAAAAGCCATCATTAGCAAAATGGTTTAGCTAAGGTAACAACATGAAGAAGAGAAAACAATTCATCAGTCTAAGTAATAACCAAATGCGTTCAACCAGCCCTCCACTTCGGTCATACCAACTGTGTCCTCCATCGCACTGTTGTCCAATGAATACTGAGTAGACGCAAACGGCGGCTCGAATTCATCATCATCGATGTCTCCCAAGAATCCGTCGTCCATTTCATTACCGTCGTCTTCATCATTGTCCTCCATGTCGGTATCCTGGCCTCCGTCCAAAACGACCGCTTCACCCCCATTATCCGACTCAAAGCAAAGCGTTTTCATACCTTCATCCGAACTGTCAGAGTCATCCAAAGTAATGACGGGCGGCTCTTCTTTGTCTTCAATGATGATAGGATTTTCGGCACTGCCAAGTGGATCGTCTTTCACGGTAATCACGGTTTGAGTGTTCGGGAACGTAAACTTCTGCGGAACGAGGATGCACTTTTTCACTGGCAATGGCGCCTTGAAGTGTGGAGACGGTGGAGTAGGAATAGTCGAAGGGACAGGCAGGGTGTCTTCAATGGTCGTACCGTCAGCGAACGTTGCCTGGAATGTAATAGCACCCGAGGAAACAATGCGGTGCTGGCTAACGGGAAACTCCATATGCAGAGTAGTCGGCTGGTCAGCTGTGACAGATACTGGGAATGGTTGAGTAGGCTCAGTGATGACAACCGCCGGCAATGGTGGAGTAGGTTGAGGTGGCTCAGTGATGACAGCCGCCGGCAATGGTGGAGTAGGTTGAGGTGGCTCAGAGAAGACAGGTGGTGATGGTTGGGGGGTGGGCTCCCGCTGCCGGGTAAAATCGTAACCGCCAAAGTCCGGGGTTGGAGAACGGCTTGACGGTGGAGAGGGTGTTGGTGATTGGATTACCCGCTTGGCTTGGTTTTGCTTCTTCTTCTTCGGCTTGGCTTTGGAAGTGGATGGCTTCACTGATGATGAAGACTTGGCCTTGAGCTTCTCCTTCTTCTTTCGGTCACGCTCCACACTGCCTGCCATTATGATGGGAACCGTATCCAGTTGTAAGTTGGTACGACGCGGATCGGGAACAATGTCACAACTCAAAAAGGCAACCGACCACTAAACATATTATACGGATGTAGCATTATTTTTGTGAAATAAAATAAAAAGTCAATATACCTCCAACCGGTTGACCGCATGTAGCAAACGGTCTACCTCCTTTCCCGGCTTACTCCATGTACAGCTTCCGACAAACTTCTTGACACTTGCACACAGATCTAATAAATTAAATTTTCATTGTTTAAGTTTAACCCTTTTAACAAATATAAACGAAAACGTACCGATATTATACTGGGCACACTCCCGTTGCTCTTGCTCCGAAATATCGTCCCACTTGGTTTTCAACCCTTTGATTATAGCTACAAATAGTTTTCTCTTAGAAAAACAATACCAACGTTACTTGTATTACCGAAAGTGACTGAAACGCGCTAATATCAGAGAGAACCCATGTGGGCGGGCTTAAACTAATACGAGCGTACTGATACAACAGCCATCTATTACACAGACTTGAAATTGGGCTTCGGCTTCACGCGCACACACCGAGAGGGCGCGCGTGGTCCTCGCTTCGCTCGGACCACTGTGTTACGTCACTAGCTGTCTTATTAACCCGGATACTAATGAAACCTCTGTTGATAAAAGGGTTTTGTTTTATTGACCCATAGACCGCTAGTGTATAATTTGATATACAATAAACTCCCGACTACAAACACGTTGAACCCGGATTAAAAGCATTTAATATTCAAAGAACGATGCCACTCATCTCATAAAACAATACGGTAGTTCCGTATTCATGGAAGCTAACCGGAGCTAATCGTGACATTCTTTTACTTAATGAATGGGCACAAAATGTAATAGTATCTTAACCTATACAGCCGGACCTATCCTTGTTACAATTATACCAGTGCAGATAGACTAAAACTTGATTTAATGATTAAGCTAGACAGAGCTTCTTCGTGCTTATAAACAAGCTAGACAGCATAGTTTAATACATGGCACCACACACTGTGTTTAACGTAGTTTAATACAAATCGCCACCCACTACAACATAACACAGTTGGCTAGTACAACATTAGTACAACAGTAGTACAACATACCACAACATTAGTTCCAGGCTAAACCTCTACCACAAAGACACAAGACAGTGACCAATAGTCCAAGTCTAATACTCCAAGTAATGCTGTACGTGGAGACGACGAATCCGACCCATACGATAATCTTGCAGTATAACTAGGGGTTGGGCTACACGGTGATGAACCAATAGCTGGCGAGCACACTGTGCTAGGTGTTTTGCCTTGAGTTGACACGACTGATAGATACTATATAAACGCTAGCATTTCAGTGCGGCAGTTCAGTTGGTAGCCAAAATGGATATGACACAGATGAGCAATCGCTTCGGGAGTTTTGAAAACTGGCCGGATCAGTCCCTTGCCCCTGAAGAACTGGCAAGCCAAGGGTTCTTTTATCAAGGGCAGCATGACGAAATCCACTGCGCATACTGTGGCTATATTATGGGTGACTGGGTGAACTCACGGTATAAACCATACTACCGACACCGTTTAGCACGTCCAGACTGTGTTAGGGCTATGGAGGAATTCGGATCAAGAAAACACATTCCGCACTCACCGGCAATGAAAGACTACAAGACACGCTTTGCTACTCACGCTGAATGGCCTGCTAACAAGCACCAGCAACCCAGAGATATGGCTGCAGCCGGCTTCTATTATGAAGGCCGAGATGACTGTGTTCGCTGCTTTCACTGTGGTGGTGCACTTTATGCTTGGGACAAAGATGATGTTCCGTGGGAAGAGCACGCTTGGACTTACCCGAAATGTCCGTATCTTGTACAAACAAAGGGCTCAGCATTCATCAACGATGTTCGTAAAAAACGCCAAGAAGCCGAAACAACATGTTGTGGATTAACACGAAAAGCTCAAGAACCTACAACTTCTGAAGACCCCAAAGAGAAATTACGCTGTAAAGTCTGCTATGAAAATGATTCGGAAATCATGTTCAGACCATGCGGTCATTTAGTTTGCTGTGCAAAATGTTCAAGCAAGCTGCTGCTGTGCCCAATTTGTCGGGGTGTCATTTTCCATAAGTGCTGGGCTTTCTTCTGTTAGTTTTTATTGTCTGTATCATGCATGTTCATTCATGTTCATAAAAAAAAGAGGGTGGGGAAAAATAAACCAAAGAAAGGGGACCAACCGGTTCAAACCGACTGAAAACCGAACCGATTACAAGCCGAACCGCGGACCGGTCGAAAACCGGACCGATTCGGAGCTGACGGTAAACTAGCGCTATATCTTCTAGCGTTCGCTGTTTTTTTTTGTACACCAACCGTCGCGTGCAGTTGCAAAAATTCCTGTTACAACTTTCCAAATATTCCAACACCGCGAAAACAAGTTTTGTCGTTTTGACCAAGACAATTGCTTTTCCCCTCCATCTTTTCGACCGCTAAAAATCCCTCCCTTTAATTTTCCCTCCCTCTTTTCGACCCTGGCCGAATAAACTAGCCGCACTTCGCGTCCACCTCCTTACAGACAGCCGTGTACCGCTTTTCATCTTCTTGGGACTTGGACGGCTGTTTTTACTGTCTTAATGATGTTAATCCAGCGCATCGGTGCGACTGCGGATGGCACACCGACAATTCTTCTGAATAGTTTCTAATCTTTTTATTGTTTCTTTCTTCGAACTTCGTTATTCATAGCGCATGTAGATAGAGGTACCGAATAATGATGTACGATAATGGTAAATATGTACAGTAACAAAGGAAAGGTAGTGAGAAGAAGGGGAGTAAGGAGTGAAAGGTATGGCAGTAAAAAAGGTTTACGAGGTTTACGTTTTGGCAGAACCGGAGCTGGAATTTTACGCGAAAAATTTCCCATAAAATGTGCGCTTATGACTCATGGTTTATTGACACGTTATCAGCCTAGGGCTGTATTCTCACACATGCAGCATGTGTTTTGCCGGCGTTATGCTTGTTTTGCGTTGTATTGTACTAGCTTTGTGTCACAGTGTATAGTGTATACGGTACACACTGCATACACATTTTATTCCACATTGCCGTCAGTTACCATCGTTCTCGAGACTATGTTTTGCCTGCGCTATAATATAACAATGCTTCGTATTTGTTTTGCCTTTTACTTGTGCTGTGTTAATGGATAACAGTATACACAGCGCAATCGTGCGTTCTCGTGATGAGATGATGATTTCGATAACTCCTGCATAGTTTCAAACTGCCCAACACACATGGGTTGATAATCGCATACTAAAATTTAAGGTGATCCTTCTACTAGCGCATGTACGCTGGTACTGACGTCTGAGCTGCTTGTGCCAACAGTCCTGTCCCAAGCCCATTTTGGACAGAATTCCCACAAGAATAAAATATGTCTTTGTCAACTGTGCTGATTGTGGTACCACAGATCAACTGTTAATCTGCTACTACAGGTAGTACAAGTCGGTTTGAAAAACGGGTGACCACGGTAAGCGAGTAGCATATAGAGTTATAGACCGCGTATAAAAACGTATGAAGGGGATTGTCTGTCACCATACAACTATCTATGATGAGTATACAACTGTCTATGATCCCTATACCTTAATCCAGTCGCGTAGCGTATTGCAGTATGGTAAATAGCCTAAGCCAGTGTTTAGCGGATTTCACGATCACCTGTTTGTAAAACGGGCTTGTATTCCAGCCGGAGCGACACCATGCTCGTCTACGTAGGCGACGTGGACGCCTGGAACGCCGTGGATGTTCGCATCGACGGCCAGCTGCAGCACGGCCGCGTCATCAATGTGGTGGAGGGCGGTCTGATCATTGATTTTGAATGCCCCGCACAACGCTCGCAGTTCGTTGAGTACGGGCGCATCTACTACTGGAGCCTATGCGGCGCGAATACTGTGCCTGATGGGACGGTAGTGGATGTGTTGCTGCGTCGGCAGCCTAACGATGCGTGGATTTGGTATCCGGGAACGGTCGTCTCCATAGGGGATTACGATTATGACGACGCCGCATGGGTGGAAGTGCAGTTGCCGCAAGGAACCGTTAGCGAACTGATACCCTGGCAGCAGGTGCGCCCTCAGCCCACGGCCGGTCGGAAATCTGAGCTGCGGCGCTTGAAAAAAAATGCTTTCGTGATTCGGTGCTGCCCGTTGCCCGCCACCATCTACTGGACCATCGAAGAAGCTTTCCAGTGTGTCTTGGTACGAAGTGGTGTGATGTGCACTTCTCTGCTCCGCCAAACGCTACTCTACCTGCAGCTTCGGGAAGACGATCCATTGAAACCCGAGCATCTTGTAAGTTTGTTGTTGAACACTGAGAAATGAAATTGTATACAGCATTCGTAGCCCCGGCCCATGTCTTGTGATTTTATTGCCGAGAGAATATCAAGTCATTTCGCATTCAGCAGGAATAAACGGCCAAAACATCAAATCAGACTAATTAACGGGGTACATGGCCGGCAAAATATCGTTGGCTGCCGTTTGAAAGAGAGAACTTTTGGGGGTCGTCCGACCCTTGATGCAGTTTTAGCCGCCCGTTTTTAGGTTTCTAAAACCTGGCATTCTTTTAATTTTCGAAATTTTTGGCTAAAAAATGACCTCCTCAGCCCAGTTAACAGTTTATTACCGCTAGATGAAGGTGCACCTCTGTCAGATCGGGAAGCTGTCTTGCCACTGTCGGGCATCGCACAAGTTACGTAGCTATAGGGAGTTGTTGTATAAGAGCTAGAGGAGTTGTTTTATTTGTTCTAGCTTTTGGTTACTTGAGTCTAAGTTTTTAAAGTGCATTTGCTTGTACAAGTTTGAAATAAAAGTGTTAGTTACGTAGAGTGCTGAGCAGCATGTGATACTTTTTCGTACACTAGACTCTGTGGTTAAGGTTCATATAGCGGCTACAGTTGTACGTCTACGCAGGCACAGCCAGTTGTAAGTTTGTTACCATACAGTCCGTACTGAATAAATTTAATCTTATACAATGCGAGCAAGAAAGGAAGCTACGGGTTTAGGGTATGCGTTGTAGCGAAGAAAGCGAAAACCGGTTTGTACAGCTAGTACGCGCACAGACAGCCACACTCATACGTGCGTAGTGAATGCGAGCGGATTTACCCACTCACACGCACATGTGCCGATCGATCGATACAGCAAGGCAGCACTCCGCTTGCGCTTTTTGGCAGCACCGGAATGCGCTGTCTTCGGTCTATTTATAGTCACAACAGAGAGGCTGCATTGATCAACCAGCCTCAGCGGGCAAAAAAGGCTGTTCGCTGGCTTTTTAACATAGACCGTAGCCTCCTCATTTAGTCAGATTGTATTTACATGGTGGCATAGGAGGAAGCCTATCATAAAGCACAAAAAAAGAAAAAAAGAGGCTGTTGTACATTAACGAAATTGGGCCTCCGGATACTTCGCCGCTGGCCGATTTGCGCAACCACCGAAGATTGGGAAGTTGGCAACAGCGATCAAATAGGGCTACCGTTACCCGGGGAGATGTTGGTGGAGGTCTTTCAGTCGCTGGACTCTATCGGGCGCGTCCGCTGTCGGCGCGTCTGTCACGTGTGGAACAAACTTCTTACGGACACCAACTTCCCCGATGTGCGCTTGACCGGCAGCAACGGATATTATGATGGTCACCTGTCCTTCTCCATCGAGGGCATGTTTTGGTTGGTTTCTGGTATACTCAAGTGCCTTCAAAGTCGCACCCAGTTGGTGGCGATCACGAATGTCGGTTTGGCGACCGTTGAAGACTTGGTCGCACTCCTCACCACCTTGCACTGCGCCACAGTGGTGGTGTTCTATGACTGCTGTTTCACTACGCCAATGTATGAAATTGACGGGGTCATAAGACGGATGGCTAGCTTGGCCGTGAACTGTGGGCCGTACCTCCGAACGGTGCTTAAGCATTGTCGCATAGCGGATTACGGTCTCGAGGGTCTAATTCCGCAGTACCGCCTTCAGGGTCCATCGAGGAGGGATGTGGAGATGCAGCTGTGGGATCTCATGGAGAGCAATTTGACCATCAACAGCCAGTGGAAGCGACATGCCGCACTAGAATGGATTGCCAAATGCAAACGAGACGATCACATTCCACGGAGGATGATGTATCAGGCAAGTCATTAGCAACTTTTATATAAACGTAAGATACGAGTACATTAATAAAGAACAACGCGATTTTTTAATACACAACGCGGTAAAACGTACAGCTTAGGACTAAAAAGACGCATAACCCCATACCCAGATATCCGTACGCATGTGGCAAGTGCACTTGTACGACAACCGGATATTTTAGCTGAGTCGTACAGCGCACTGCGCCGCATCCGTTCGGAATGCTGTGGTGGGAGTATTCGTCTTTTCAGTCCTAAGCTGTAATACACATTAATAAAGAACAACGCCATTTTTTTGCATCATTAAAAAAGTCATCTGGATTCCGCTTGAAGTGCACCGTATTTATGTTAGTGCTACTGATTTGACACTGAGCTGTGATTCTTGGACGCTTACAGATTCTTCCTGGATAAAGTCCACAAGTATTCGTACTTGGAAAATCTTTTAGCGGTTGAAACACTGGAGGTTTTTGGCTTGGCTCTTAAGTGAACTATTACATTTAATGGGCAATAAAATTCGGGACTTAACGGGAGGAGCTCCCTCTATTGCTTTTCTCAAGCAGCCTTTTAGTTTAGCAATTGTTATGACGGTTTTAAGTGCTAATCGTCTTTTAACCGTAGAGAAGATAGAGACTAGGGTGGTTTTTTTATGTTTGGTTAGCAGTTTTATCCAGTAGTCTACCTGCCATTACAGTTTTTGTAAATCTAGCAGCTTTATTAATAATCGCACAAGTTCTGGTAATAAAGAAAGAAATACGCTATCTTATTTACAGCAGCAAAACTTCATTTTAAACTATCCACTCCGTCCATTGTGCCAAGGATAGATGCTGCATTTCCACGCTGAATCTCCAGCGATATTCGTTGACGTATCGGCGCAATCATCTCCCACGTGGCTTACCTGGGTGCGGAATTTGCGACATCGTACGACAGAGTCGTTTTGAGACGGTGCCGTATATCGGATTCCGATCTGCAGGCAGTAGTTCGGGAGTACTGCTTCCCGATGCAACCGGGCATGGATACGGTCTATCATACTTAAATGCAGCTATTGAAGGGCTGGGCTCGGCTCGCATAGACACTAACAAAAAATCTGCCGATTGAGGGAATCGAACCCACAAACTCCATACTCTGGGGCCGAGAGAGGCGCCACTAGGCTATCGGCAAAGCATACAAATTGTACTGAAATATTCTATCGAACGATCCTATAGAAAGCGGATGCCGCTCTGACAGTAAGTCGAATAGAACGACAGAACGTTATCACATCCCCACATACAGAGTAGGCTGCGTGATGCGCGAAGAGCATAAGATGAAGAGAAATTATTGTTTAAGATAACAGTTATTCGGCAACAGCCCGTACCCAATAACCTAATAAAAAGAATGTGCCGTCAGTACCTGTACTCGTACACACGTAAAAAAAACCAGTGCTGATTTACGCGGACATTACTCACAATAATTAGACAATACATTCAGTAAATAAAGCCGTTAACATTCGATACACGCCCAGAAACCCCCGTGTTACTTCAATTCTGAACAGAATAAAAATTTTCAGCTCGAAAATAAGCTTGCTATTAATTGGCTAAATACTGGTCTCCCATCACGGTCACTTCGGTATACCTCAGATCGAAAAGCACACAAGGCCGATGTATGCCACTATTCTTAGTTAGTTGGAAGACAAAATTCGGAGCCAAACAGTTTATGGTTGACGGGGCGGCGGTATCCATTGCGCTTTCTTCATGTCGCAGTGGAGCGCTGCGGCGGCCAGCGGGGTCAGTTTGTTCCCGTCGAAACTCGCGATGGCCGCGGTCGTCCACGGATAATCCCGATACTGGTTAGATGACCGCGGATCCACGCTAATATACTGCCGGATAACCTGTAATCCCCTCATGTTTTGTAGCTGACCGAACCGGCCGAAAATTAATTTCGCTTACCGTGAACAGTTCTCCGAATAAGCCATGTTGCATGCAGTGGACAACCCATTCCGACAAGATAATCCGATCAACCGCTTCATCCACAACGAGGTGCTTGTCAAAGAGATCCCACAACTGGATTTCCAGCTGCTGTTCTGGTTGGCAGGAGTGCGCGTGCCGCGAAACGGCGGCCGTCAGACGTGCCTCCACCAGGCGGCATTTATACCACACCACACGCTCCGCCGTGCCGCAAATCCGCGCGATAATGCCGTTACGGCCCAGGATCTGACCCCCAGACATGTTCGGGGTGGACCAGTCACACTGTTGCAAGACCAGAGTTGGGATGCGATTGCAATTTGCCGCGTAACGGATCATATAGGCGACGCCGACACTCTCCGCCACATCCATCTTTGTAATAATAATCCGCTTCGTGCGGCGCTTTACACGCAAACGGAACAGGCAAGCCAGCGCCCAGAACATGGGCGGCGGGAAAGAGGGCAGGTAGTCTTCTGTCCGGCAGGAGACGTGCATATCGGGGAAATATGTTTCGGTTCCGAGAAGAGTGTTCCACAAGGTACAGACGCGCTGGCAGCGAAAGCGATTGATGGAGTCAAACGACTGAAAGATCTCCACCAGCAGTTCTCTAGGTAAAAACAGGCTCGCCTCACAACTAATGCTTGTCGTGCGCTCGCTTATCGCAGAGTCCATACCAGCCGCAGTGAGCAACTGCCGCGGCATGTCTCCTTCACTATGCTTCTTCAACGCTTCCACACACACGGCTTCCTGCGAAAGGGAAAAAGTAGTTTGCGCCTCGTCATCGCTAATATTCTGATCCCGGCATCCCATGTATCATGCTCATGTCTGTTCTTATTATTAGAATAGTTTTACTAATAATATTTCTAATATTTCCCATGTATTCCTAACCTGCTTGATAGGCCTTGTCACTTGCGCTCACTGGCTGCCAAGAGTGACAACCGGTCCCAATTTTCATGAGAATAAGCGTTTTATTATTTTGATCGTCGCACAGTTATCATTATAAGAAAGCAGCATGCTATATTATGTTCATTTCGTGGTGAATGTTCATTAATTTTGTAATGCTGTACATAATTCAAAGTTCCTCACGATCAGTAAAAAAGTAAACCTACGCGAACATTGTCTGCTCATGAAAATTATAACAATGAACGAAGATAATGATAATAAATAAAAATAACTGGAGTACAGTAGTAGGCGGGTAAGAAGTCCTAAGCGGATGAAATCCTTAAGCGAAACATATCGCTCAACAACGATTAACGAGAAATACCGCATTGCGGCAATAGTCGGGTTGCGCGACTGGCCGATAAATTAGCGAGTCAGAGGCCAGACACCAGAGAGAGCCGCGCAACCAGCTCTAGCTGCAGCGCGGTATTTCTCGCAACATCGCTGAGCGGTCCCGTATTGCAGCTAAACGTTCTACAGTGGTCACGTACCAGATCCTGAGGTTCCAGGGGAGGATCGCGGGAACGCTGCATGTACAATAGCGTCCCGCGGCACACCTTTCTCCACCAGACGGGCCGCACTCGCTGCAGGCGCAATCGGCAGATGTTTCGAAGCAAAGGTGCTGCATCGCACCACACTGCTGGCAGTGCGCATTGACGAATACAAAAATCCTTGACCCGCACCCGGCGGCGGGCGAGTTGGGCGTCCGAGAGCGGCTGGCGAATTTGTTGCCGGGGCAGCAGCTCAGTGATAACACCGTGGGGCAGCTGCGCCGTTACAACGGAAGCGCTGACAGTCTGCATGAACGCGAAGCAGCCACCGGCTACGAACCGACCCGCGAACCACTGCCACGGGCCATCGGGGGTCGCTCGCAGCAGAACTTGCACAGTGTAGTCCCGGAGTACGGCCCGTTCATCCTTTGGCTGGATCGAGTGGAAGATGCTTCCGTATTCGATAAACTGCGCGCGCTGTGTCTCACATCCGAAATCAATGACCAAGCCCTTCTCCAGCACGTTGACCACGCTCCCGTGCTGCAGTACACCGTCCACCAGGACGTCAACGGAGTTCCACGCGTTCACGGCGCCCTGATCGTGTCCGTATACAAGCATGTTGCGGCTTAGTTTTAATGAGTTGCTAATAAAACGACGACCGGGGGAGAAACTATCCCAAAACGAACAACAGCGTGCAGTGAAGAGTATCCCAGTGCTCGTAAAGATCTGCTCAACCGGCAGAAGAAGAAGATATTATCCTCAATGTGGCGCAGCAAGCTACTCTTAAAAGCCGGAATGAAAAAGTCTCCCGAATGCACTGCTGCCATCAGGCTTATATACGGTGAAGAATTGCAGTCTGCATCCGGGTATGACCAGAAAGATTTTGGAAAATCCGCTTACCGGACTCAGGTACAGTATGGTTGTGGCGTGTATTTCTAAAGCTGCCATAACTGCCCAGTGCATATCTGATGTCCTGTCCGCCATCCTGTGAAGTATTGGATACGTACTGTATAATACTACATTAGTACAAGCCCATCCAACAATTCTTTGACCGCTGTAAGCGCAGCGCATATAAATCGCGCACAGTAATGCAAATACGCATCATAGTGTAGTGGCAGATATATTTATAAATATTCAACCAATAATAATATATTAGATCACAATTAATAGACCGTTATTAGACCAACGTGGAATCAATCATCTTTAGCCCGGGCATGTTGCAATCCCACGAAATTACAGCTTTTTGCAGCACGGTGCAGTAATTTGAAAGTAATATGGATATTAAGTACCACCGCGATATTGTATTGCAAAGCAAAGATAATACTGTTACAAAAGCATAAAATTAATATAAATTATGATGGCAATAAATAATGCTAAACATATTACATTGTATATCACAGATACAGTAACTGCATGCAGATTTGTTGCTTATTCACGCTGAATACGCAGACCCATGTGGCGTGACGTGTCGAAGCACATTAAATGGCTCAAGCCCACGTTTCTTTAAATTCCCGCTTACAGCGGTCAAAGAATTGTTGGATGGGCTTGTATTTATTAATGTTTACTGTAACTTGTCCGCGAACGTACTAACTGCCAATGCAGTTGTACGTGACGACAGCGTATATTCGTATCTACAGTATAAGCAAGTCAGGACGTACAAGGTTATAATTATGAGAATACACGCGACCGGCAAGGTCGCAACATATACCACACATCCTGTCCAGTTTATAGTTTAGTTTCATCTCGGTAGCAGGTAACCCATTAACCTGCTGTGTTTTGCATACACAGCATGGGAATTTAAACCTGGCCGAACACAACACACGCTCATTATCAAACTCCGCTACAGAAGGCATATGATACAACACAGCTCAGAATTGCAAGCATTATTAGACCCATGCACTGGCACACTAAACAATGGCTAATAAGCATTGACATAAACGTGTATAAAGCACGCAGACTAAACGCTATAGACAACAAGATCCGTATCGTTCGGCCGTATCCGTAGTTGAATGAGGAATGGAGCGCGGGTGCTTTATCCTGATGCGACGAGCGAGTTGAACCATGGAGGATCCGTTTAAGCCCAGGCGTCGAAGAAACGCACACGCCACTCAGTACGGTCAGCGCTGATGCCGACTAACCACGTCGCACACAGCCTTGCGGGCCATGCACTCGCAGCCTGAACTCAGAGTGGTCACCCATCCAAATCCAAACCGCGCTCGATGTAGACTATCTTTCAAAATCCGAAGATCCATCCATTTAGCTACACGGAGTGTGGCTAAATGACAGAAATGGCTAAATGAAGTCAGCAGAAACATTCATTTTTTTGCGCAATTTGAATTTACTTATGTTTAAGGTTTCATTGGAATCTTGGTTTCTTTTATTATGAAATATGTTTTGCTTTGGTACTCAGTTTTTATTAGCATTGTGATACTTTAACCGAAGTTCAGCCCATTACTAAACTCGTCCGTTGAAAACCGGCTAGGGAACACAAGAAGCGCAGGGGCGTCGCCGGGAGGCTGCAGATGTTTCTTGTTTTTTAACAAATTCTGGCAGAAAGCGGACATTACACTCGTTGCCCGCTGGATCAGTCAGAATTATGCTGTTGAAGCTGAGCAGTGAACATTGTATTGGTGTGCACAATACCTGACGAGCGAGAAGATAATCGGTCACAGGACGCTGCTGGGGAATACATACATTATACATACTGCCGTTGCGCACCTTCATATTGATGAGACTACTGTACTTCGCGCAGTGGATCGACCGGTTGGTTTGGCACATGCGCAGCAGTGTCAAATGGTAAAGTGTAGACTTACAAGGTTCCGAACTGTTAATGAACAGCCCTTTCGACGCTGCAGGTACAGTAGCGTTTGGCGGACCACGGAAGTACACACCGCACCACATCGTTCCAGTCCGTACTGGAAAGTCTCTTCGATTTTCCAGTGGATGGCGGTGGACAACGGGCAGCAGCGAATCACAAAATCATTCTCCTTCACGCTCCGGAGCAAAGTCTGCCGGCTCGTGGGCTGCGGGCGTACCTGCTGCCAATGGACCAGTTCACTGACGGTTCCATGCGGCAACTGCACTTCCACTAACGCTGTGTTAACATGGCAGCCGTGCTTCCCCTTGGACGCCACCGTACCCGGGTACCATTTCCACGCACCGTCCGAGTGGCGCCGCAACAACACATCCACCGGCGTCCCGGCCCGCTCAGGCTCACAGAGGCGGGAACTCCAGTAGAAGATGCGCCCGCATTCGATAAACTGCGAGCGTTGTGCGGGGCATTCGAAATCAACGATCAGGCCACCCTCGGCCACGTTGATGACGCGACCGTGCTGAAGCTGGCACTCGATGCGAACGTCCACGGCGTTCCAGGCGTTCACATTGCCTCCGTAAATATGCATGGCGGCGTCGCGACTGAATTGCTAGTAACAGATTACCAGTTGGTCGGGATTCCACGATCACTGTAATTGTCCCTTGTCAGCGACGGAGTTAATTCGCGCAAGAAGTCCGTCCGAAACAAGAGTGTTTCTCTGGTATCTCTACCATCACGTACAGAGATTAAGTATTAGTCGTCAGCTACGGGCAGTCTCATACTAGCAGCAAAATACGCGCGTGTTCGCCGTGTTGTAATAATTATGCAATGTAATCGCCGTGTTCTAATAATAATTATTAGGGTACCCTTATAGGCACTCCCTAAAACCCCCGTATATTATAGGCACCCCTTTTCGCACCCCGTTTATTGTAGGCACCTTTTTTTGCTAAAGATAATATATACAGTAATAGATTCAGTGTTCTTAGGTAATAATACAGCTGTATTCAGATAGTAATTCAATTTTTTAGTAAATTTTTACAATAATTTTTCTCTAGCGTCGAGCTAAGTACTGTACATCAGGCTTTCCAGCCGATAACAAAACGATTCGGCAAATCAGCCAGCTTGGAGCGAATTAGTACTATACTGTGACCAGAAGGCCATCTTTCGCGTTGGTAAGCTCATTCATTGGCTTCCTTCCAAGCCGTTATTACCTTGTGATTTTCTCAGCTTTTGAGACTTTTGAGCCGCGGCTTTTGTGAATACGATGTTCGCGGGCGATACTGCAAAGATCATTTCAGCAATGTAGGAAAAAACCATCGGGCCGCACTGATTGGACCCTGGCAACAGAAGCTCGACAATTAGAATGCTACAGTGACCGGCTTCTGTTCGCCACCGTACAGCAAGTTAAGCTGCAGTTGGACATGCGGCGACACCGGAGTACGTCAGTGTTCCCGCTTCCGGTGTTAGACAGCACCACATTGACGAATGCATTCGGATCTTTAACAAGTAAATTCGTTTAAAATGTGATTAACGATTGCCTCTTCCGTACGTTATCCACTATCCACTTTTTCCGCCTTATTGCGGGTTTTGTATACCTTGGGATGTGACACCCTTGCCGGTCTCTAGCAATCTGTCGCTCAAGTGCCCTGGCAGGGCGAAGATTCCCATTTTCCACCTTCTATCAGTGGATGGTTATGGTCCATTTGTTGTTCTACCTGATATTCGTATGATTTCGTAGGACGTGGCCGCGAATGCTGGCTGCAAGCCTGATGCGAGCTGGGCACTGGTGTTGTCGCGTATAAGTGAACATACGAGCCCCGGAGCCGTTCCTTTCGTTTTCTCTGGAGTGCAAGAGCGCACACATTCGTAAAACTTTTATGCTAACGGAAGGCTCCAGAGCTTGAACCTCTCGGGTCATATACTACTATGTAGTATGTACGATATAAATTCAAAATGGGTGCCTATAATAAACAGGGTGCGAAAAGGGGTGCCTATAATAAACGGGGGTTTTAGGGGGTGCCTGTAACGGTTTCCTAATTATTATGTTGAGTGATATTTACGAATTACGGTAGTTGTGCAATCTCGTACCAGTAGGAAAATATATGCGTGTTGTAACACGACAGTACTAGTCGTTCGTATCTTGTTCCAAGGCACTTTGTGCTTTATCGACCATGCTATCTATACAGGGATTGAATTTGAGAAACTAAGCACTTGGAGATATGGAAACTTAATTATATGTAGATCACGGCTTGCGTGGTACCGAAAATATTGTTTATTATTTCTTGTTCTTTTAAGATATAGATTGCACGGTTTGATTCTGAAATGTCCAAGACGCAGGTGTTTGAGTATAACACAGGAGTCTACGAAGAAGGCAGCTCGGGTCTCAAAGCATGAATTTTGCGTGGTGTCGCTAGACTGCCTTCCCTTGGTGGCTGGACGTGCTGCACAACACGTGAATGGGTATCCCTTATTCTTGCCGTTTTTTCTGTCTATCCCGTGTATTTACCCCCTCCTCGTATATATTTTAACCATCGAAATTTATCCTCGACAACAGTGCTACAACGTGTTTGGTACGTATTATCTCTACTGTTATCTTAAGTGTGTATCTCTCTCAAATAGTACAATACATCAATACATACGCCGACTGCGAGGCACCACTGCCGGAGACTGCTAATGTGTCAACAAACCATGAGCCATGATTACATACACATTTTATGGGAAATTTTCAAGTCAACTTAAGTTCTACCAAAGCAGATGAGAGAACAAACACGTTTTATTTATCGCTGTAGAGGCTGAGCACAGGGCACTTCATTAAGTGATTTTATTTGCTTTACAGAAACATGGTATCTCCACTCTCCAGCAATCAACCGGTATTTTTGAGAGATTTGGTCCGGTACATAGCACCACAATATGACCACATACGTGCACATCCATGGAGACTTCCGCTGTCGTGAACTCCCAAACACTTTTCTGCATTCCTCTATAAATTATTATGTTTTGACGCCAAAAGATTTAGCCAGATCCAAAAACCTTGCTAGACTGACGCCCTAGCGGGATATGGGCTTATTGCTGAAGTTTAAGACGTGCATGAATCGAAGGAAGCCGTCCAGTTTGCACCCGTGAGGCAGAACCGTATTTTACAAGAGCGAATGCACAATCATGATTTGTTTATCTGTTTACCAGAGCTTGTTTCATCGTCGTTAAAACCTTAGGAACGGGGAAGTTTAGGGCACGAAATGCCGCACGAAGATAGATAGATTAACAAGATAGCGCACCACAACATGCTTTAAGATATAATGCTACCGGTATCTACGCAGCTACGTCAGTGACCTTTTACGATATCCCGGAACAACGATGTTTAGTCGTTTAATACCGTAAGCAGTATTATGCACAGATAGTAAAAGTAGAATGATTCCATTATTTCCGCCGGAAGCACACTACCACAAAATGAGACCGTGTAGCCACATGCCAATGCACTCAGTTCATAACATTTCCAAGGACATTCCTCTACGTTATCACACTTTCCAACATACCACCCAAGACTATCGATACACTTCCCATGACATGAAAGTTAGTTATGCAATAGCATGAACAACAGGTGCACGCGCCGGTCATGCGCATCCACGCATCCACACGTGACTGGCGGCGCGTTGTTAGTATTATGCGGTTCCTTTTGCGTCGCGTTATCAGCGTTGTACGTACACCAATAAGAAAACATTCTTATGTATGTAAATAGGAAATTTCTGCGAATTAGAAAGATTACGGCATCGTCGGCATATCAGAACGATAATCCGAACAAAGGAGTGGAATCAGCCCAAGGAATGGTATATTAGGTGGACCGACACCGTTTGTTGAACGAAACTGATAACAAAGACCAGTTGTTAATATGGACCAATTTTAAGAACGTTGGGTGTAGAAGTAGACATCCAGTTTTAAATCGTCCATGGGAGAGCATCGGGCAGCAACGGTTTTGTTTGGTTTCTGATTTTACCGGCCCTGTCTGATTTGGACAGTTTTTGTTGTTTTGTCAGTTTACATTTTACTTCTGCCATATAGGAAAATGCTCACTCACTTTGCAGTGTTCGGTCTCGGTAAGCAAGTCTTAATTCAAACACCAGAATTGTACATTCGTACCTCTTACAGTGGCTTCGTTTTATTGTAAGACTTTGCGCTGACCGGCTAACGTCAAGCGCTACTTTTAATTATAAGTGATAAGTAAAGCGTCGCGATACGGTAATAAGGCTTTCTGATGCTGTATAAGGCAAACGGCATCTCTTTCCCTCGCTTCAGTACCATTTATCTCTTTCCCCTGCTACATCGCTGCTGTGGCTGAACGCACACGTGACGCTTTTGATTCAGCCTTTTCACAGCCGACACAACGCTTGATATCTGTACAGTGTACACTCAGGATCAGTTGCGCAATCTGCTCAGCTGCAAACCGGTTTAGATGTATGGAATACCGAATGGCCGGGAGTTTTGTTGATGTTTGATGTTTGATTTAGGAAGTTTGACAATGATTACAAATCAACGAATTAGGTTAATAGTTTGACTTAAAACCATTGATTTCAGATCAGTGATTTTCAGTCTATGATTATGAATCAATGATTTTCAAACACCATGATTTGAAATCAGTGATTTTCAAATCAGTGATTGTAAATAACTGACTTAAATGTTTTGATTTTGGAAATATGAATACAATTCATCGGTGATTGAATAAAATCAACGATTCGTTGAAGATTGACCTGAAATCATTGATTGCCGTTCATTGACTTGCCTTTTCAATACGTAAACGTCGCCGCGTGCACCGGAAGCCCGATATTCGGACTTGGAAAAGTTTTCGCACTTTCCTAGTTCCAATTCTACTCTACCAATTCCAGTAAATTTATTGGAATTGATAAGGTGAAATCGAAATTTGAAATAGATTTTTCACGGTCAAATTCCAGTTTCATTCTGCCAGTTTCAATGAATTTCATGAAACTGGCAGAATGGAACTGGAATTTGGAGAGCCTGAAAACTTCTAGTCCACGCATAAATTCTGGGCACCGAGTGCACCGCAGAGTCTATGGTATAAGAAAAACCGTCCTATAAAGCTGTCTACCCAATCCTGCTTACCCCTACGCAACCAATCCAAATTGCGCACACAAACGCTTGTCAATACTTCAGATTTCATTTGTTTGCTCTAATTACCTATTTTCAGTATAAGATTCCGCCTTTTCTTTAGCTGTGATAAAATATTTACCAAAACTGTTATCGTACTTGTCATTAAATAAGAAACTTAGAAGTATTGAGAAGTAACTGTATGCATTTTTAATTTCAGAAAGGTTTAGAAACCATTTACAGTGATATACACAAATAATAATAAGCTGCAGTACTTCAGATTTTTAATTATTTGATGGAAAATGCGACAAACAAGTAAACCTATGATCAGTATATCATCGTAAATTCATTATACTGTACAAGAAGGGAAGGATGGCATTCTATGCAAGCAACATGTAGATATGTGTTCCAGAGATCCAGTCACAAAAAAATAAAGCTTTTAATCCAGGCCATACATTAACTGTACTCCAGGATGTACATTACGTAATACTGACTAGTGAAAGCTGAGTATTGGGCTGTACTGCAGGCTTTAATACTAACTAAACTTAGTGCAGCATAGGTTGAACTACAGGCCTTGCACAGGTTTGTGCTATGGGCTTTACTGAAAGTTTTACTACAAGCGGTACATTAGACAAACCAGTACCGCACACGCCGGAGTATAGTTGTAATGCAGAAGATATCAGTTAAGCATATTGAATATTTTTGTAATTATATTTATTCACGTGAGAAATAATTTAAGGCGAAAAAAAAACCAGTAAACTGGATACATATTTGGTACTCAAGATAAAATTAATAATTAATTTTAGCAGTATATCGAGTCGTATTAACAAATTCAAACAAGCAGAGGCGCGGACAATCTGCAGCTTTCAGCTTTAAAAAAGTTTTTTGCAAAAAAAATATTAACAGGGTGATTTATACCCTATTAATAGGGTCCTCAATGCTCTTAAAAGTATATAAAAATTTAGATGCGTTACGCTAAACAAATAATTAAACCAGTCTCACTAAACAAACAACAATCAGTGCGATGTACTGCTTAATTTTTCTAAAATCCTAAATTCGGTGTACTGTTACGCTGTAATTATTTTTCTGATATGATAAAATATAATTAAGAAAAATATTCGGGATGCTTAGCTCATATCTTGTGCCATATGATATAGTGCGGCCAACCCCGGCGTGCACGTTTGCCTCGCTTGTTTGCTTAATGTACTGCCTGTAGCACAACCTGTAGTACAGCCCGGAGTACAACCTAGTATATGCCCTGCAGTTTAACCTGTAGAGCACTAAGTTTAGTTTAGCAACGCCTGTACGTAGTATTATTTGACGTACAGCCCGCATTACTTCTTAATCTGCGGCCTTTAGTAAAAACTTAGTTTTTTTATGACTTGGATACATGTGTTGCTTTCGTGGTTGCCTAGAATGTTGTCATATTTTCTTGCACATATAATAAAATTTATCAGGATATACTGAACGGAGTTTTTATTTGTTTCTCAAAAAATGAGTAAAAATCTATGGACGTATAATTATCTCTACCTATGTATATCAACACAAAAAAATTTATAACCTTTTTAAGTTAAGATCTTCAATTAATATGCATATTGCTTCTTGTCGATTTTCAGCTTGCCAGTTAATGGTAAATGTAAAAGAAGGTGGGGCTGTTATTTCATCTCTGCTAATGCAATTTTAGATTCTAATCCAGAAGAAACTGTATAATTTTGATATTATTTTAGTTGAATGTCACAAGTAATAAATCATTATAAATGCTAAAATTAAAGCTGCTCTATCAATTAGTAATCTGGACTCAGTTGTGCGCAATTTGGATTGGTTTGGCGGTAGCGAAAAGGAGTGGGAAGCAGCTTTTTAGGGCGGTTTTTCTTATACCATAGTGTACGGTGAACTGAATGCCCAAAATGTTCGTGTTTTCCGAGTCCGAATAGCGGGCTTCCGGTGCATGCAGCGACGGTTACGTATGGAAAATCACTGATGGCAAGTCAGTGAATGGTAATCAATAACTGCAGGTCAATCTTTATGAATCATTGATTTTAATTCAGTCGCTAGTGAATTGCATTCGCTGATCCAAAATCAAGACATTTAAATCAGTCATTTTCAATCACTGACAATCACTGATCTGAAAATCGCTGATTTCAAATCATGGTGTTCAAAAATCATTGGTTCATAATCATTGACTGAAAATCACTGATCTGAACATCACTGATTTCAAATCATGGTGTTCGAAAATCATTGATTCATAATCATTGAGTGAAAACCACTGATCTGAAATTCAACGGTTTTAAATCAAACTATCATAATTCAATGACTTGTAACCATTGATCTTTGGTCAAACTTTCTAAAATCAAACAGCAGACAGCAACAAAACTCCCGGCCATTCGGTATTCCATATAGATGTGAAGTGGCTGAATGCAATGTGTCACGTGTGCGCTCACACACGGCAGCGATGCAGCAGAGAAAGAGATAAACGGTACTCAAGCGAGGGGAAAGAGATGCCGCTTGCCTTGAACTAATTTTACTGCCTTCCAATTAAGTTCGTACGTAAATACTAAATAATGAATTCCGGCTATAACGGATCGACTTGCAGGTTTGCTTTGTTTCGTAAGCGCTGTTCCATACCAGACCCGAACGATTCACATCGGTCCGCAAGATAAAGTGGAAGATGCGATGTATCTGTACCGCAGCATGGTGGCCTCGGTGGCCGAATACAAAGCCGCCAAGGCATTCGAGGAATCCCGCGCCAAACTGGGCGTGCGGTCAACTACGCGCGACGATCATGTCTGCTTTGGCGATTTAGGCTGCTTCTTCAAGAACGGTACTTACGGAAATTTTTGGATGCTACCCTCTTCACCGAAATATCTGCAAACGAAATTCCTGCTGTACACGACCGCTGACCAGAAAGATCCGCAGCTGCTGGAGTACGATAAACCAGAGACGTTGACTGGGTCGGCGTTTCGTGCTGATTGGCCGACGACTGTCTTCATGCATGGCTTTGGCAATGGACCGGAAAATTCATGGACTCCGAGCTTTCAGGCTGCCATTTTTCATTCTGTAATTGAGTTTAGAAGCAATGCCTAGCTTTTATCGTAATTACTCTACTCTATTACGAAAATATTGAACAAACGTGTATCAGAATACAAATAGCATACATGAATTATATGTACATGTATGCTATTTGTATTTTGATACACGTTTGTTCCTCGAACTTTCACCATATACATGATGTATGTAGTGAAAGTTTGAGGAACAAAAATTTCTAGCGACTACATAACTTAATAAATCGCCCTGAATAAATAACAAAAAGGTTAAACTAGCGTTTTTAATATTTATTATCATTGGTCACAGACGAATAAGAGCTGCTGTTATTAGGCACGGTAAAATTGTAATTTGATAGCAATTTTGATTGCAGATTCCGCAAGGAAATTACATTTTTGTCGACTGGAGCATCGGTGCGAGACCCCCAAACTACTGGGCAGCGTCCGCCAATACGCAAGTTGTTGGAGCACAAGTGGCCAAATTGATTGCTGCTCTCAAGTAATGACATTTCGAAATGTTTAAAGGCTTGCAGTAAACATGAAAGTGTTGCTACGGACCACCGGTCCACAAATATTATAGAAAATTTTTTTTTGCTGCAGTCGTAATGCAAATTGAACTTAGGCACATGATCGAAATGTGGCGGCTAGGAAATCCAAAAGCTTCGATTCTTGTTAGATGAGATTAAACGATTAATGATTGCAGTATTTCTTTGTATTGGTGTCAACAAAACTCACATTTGGGTACTGAAACAATTTTTTTCAGCACACATACAGGAACAACATCAGACAGATTCCACATTGTGGGATATTCACTGGGAGCCCATGCTGCCGGTTTCACTGGACATCGGCTTGTCCAATACGGCCATAAACGTGCTGGTCGCATCACCGGCCTGGACCCGGCTGGACCGATTTTTGAGGACGGGCATAGTGATGCAATTTTGAGCAGCGGTGACGCCGACTTTGTTGCCGGCTTGCATGCCAATGGGGCCACGCTGACCAACGGTGGATTTGGATTGTACAAACGCGTTGGAGACATTGACTGTAAATGCGCCAGAGCTCGAGGATAAAACTTAATTTTGCTATTTCACTGCAACAAAAGTTACTGGCGCACACTATGGTTGTGTATCACTTTGTCGCTTAATCAGTTTACGAATAGCCTTGATTTAGAAATGCAGTTCTGCGCTCATAATTAATGAAAAGTGGTGCTTCTTAGTTTATCCCAACGGAGGACAGTATCAACCTGGATGTCCGCATGCAATCTGGGGAGCCTTAGGCAATTTGCTGACCTTTAACTGTAAGGGCTCATCGTGGTCTGTTATACTAGATATATCTGTGTCATTTGTCCAAAACGTTTCGTGCAAAATTTTTTTAGCATTTGGGCAGTACCGTTTAGTTACCGTTACATTTAAGTCGTACGTACTGCTTTTAGTTGGCGATATGCCAGAGTCAGTGAAATGCAATCATCATCGCGTCATCGAACTGCTCACGGAAGCACTGGATCCACACTGCAGTCATCACAGTTATGCATGCGAAAACTGGGAGTCTTTTAAAGAAGGCCAGTGCGATCCCGAACCCGACGGCAATATGGGCATTTTCTTCACCCATACGAAATCAGATCTGCAGCACTTCCTGCTTACAAAGGATGCCGACGGCTATTGTGGTAAGTACGGGGTGGTATACTGTATATCTGCTGGTGCTAGCGCTTTCTTTGTAAGCGTAATGCGTACTGCGCAACGTCGCAATTCTGTGTTCAATTTGACAACCGCTACTGAGTACGTTATTCACGGATAATTCTCAATCCCCGATCTACTTTTTCAGCAAATGCTGTGAAAATCTCGCTGGAAATTGCCGCTACATCAGAAGATTCCGAAGGCAGTCTGACAGTAATCTTCGTCCATAACGATGGCAGAGTGGAAACAGTAGAACAATTAGCGTAAGCGGTGATGTCGTTGTCTGAAGTGTCTGTGCTCCCAGGCTTGTGCTTTCTCCCCACAAAACGACTAAGTGTTGTAATGCACAGGCGTTATACCGACATATGTATTAAAATTAATTGCGATACATAGTAAAAAAACATGTGCGGACCGCAAAGTATTGTACGTCGTACGTATGACCAACAAAAAAACAACTACTTCGTACTCAAGTTTAAGCTTTGATTGTAGGAAAGACGAAAAATTGCCAGCCGGAAAGGTTGTGACGGAGGTAGTGCCCAGTCGCTTCCTTGTGACCGATATTGCTCAAATCAAAATCAAATACACACCTGGCTGTTCATGGTTCTGGTGCAGTAGAGACCGCATAAATATGGAGCGCATTACTGTGGAAAATTTAGCTGTGCCAGGGTTAGTGCTTGTAGTTTTTTTCCGTACACATACAGTTCATTAGCCGGTGTATAACTTATGTCTTTGGGTGATGTATGTATAGAACCAAGAAGTGCGGAGGATACGAAATCTTGTACAAAGAAGACGTGACGACAGTTGACCTTTCATCGTGCACGGCATAACGCGACGTGGAATACAAGAGCAGCAACAACATGATGACTTGTCAAACGCAGGCCATATAGTATAGAAATTGTTCATAAACAGCTCGCTAAAGCGCTTTAAACAATTGTTGAAGATTTTGGGCAATAATACTGACCTGGTCAGTATGTAAATCAATTTTGTCAAGACAGTTTCTTACCCAAAATGTTGTGCTGAGCAAAACTTGAGGAAAAATACAATAATGCCTTACATATTACGTAACTAGAGTCGTGCGTTAGATGCGAAATCGCCATTGCCCTTCCACACCATCCCTGGCAATAATCAGAAAAACCAATAATCAAGAGTTGGTTTTTCTAAGAATGAATTAATTCGAAATTTGGTGGCAGAGGCCGAAAAAGACTTGGTACTTATCGCTGCTGTCACTTTTTTACCTTCATAAATGCACAGTACAATTTATATCAGGCAGTTTTGTTTGCTGGCGTTTATTCTGCATGCTGGAATTCATGTATGACTTACAGGGTACTAGCTTCTGAAGTCGCTTTTCACTGTCATGCTTTCTGGGAAATCGAATTTAAAAGAAATGCAGTCGAATCCCAAGGTAAATACTGTGACAGCAGGCAAACAGAGGCTCACGATAGAGAGGAAATAGGCTTTATTGTGGATAGGAAGGCCGCATGCATATATTCATATTCCCCTCCAGCGCGTCCGCCGGAAAGGAACACAACACAGCTTTCCTCCGCAGCTTACTGCAAAGTCCAAAAGGGTTTCACCAACTTCTTGCTTCAACAGGAAAAAGTTCGCCCATTCTGTTGACTGCAGCGTTTTGTTAACATAGGCATGTTCGAGATGGGCGATGACCTTATCCAGTTTTAGCTCCGCGGGATCTTGTGGAAGACACATGGCAAACAAAATCTCATGTGCTTCTACTTCTAATGAGTCCGGTAGCAGCTTTTTCTGATGGTTTTCCGTGGTGAGTTTCTGTATTTGAACATAGTCGTTACAGTGGGAACGCCATGCTTTCCACACCATGGAGCCAGGCTCGAACTTGATCTGTGCCGGGCGAAATCGGAAAACATCTGACAGGAACACCTTTACGCGGAACTGAAGAAGCAGCTGGATAAAGGCGAATTAGAACCGGAGACACTCGGTGGGCATCTGTTGGCAGGGGAACCGCACAAAGGCATCGTCAGGGATGAGTCGGGGGATGATCCCAACCAGTATTTGCCGTGCGAACTACTGACGGAAATCTTCGGCTTATTGGACAGCGTCTACCGCACTCGGTGTCGGCGCACCTGCGCCCTATGGAGCACCATCATCACCACGGAGCGCTGCTTGTCCGATGTGCTGATCCCAGGAGAGAGCGTTCTGCCCGCCTCCTGGCAGACGCCACTATTCTGGGCGCTGGCCTGTCTCCTACACTGCTTTAACTCCCGCACGAAGCAGGTGGTATTCGTGCAGCTGAGCATGGCGGAATGCGAGGATGTTGTTACACTGATACAGCATCTTGGTGGCGGCAATTGCCGCATTGGGACGCTGGTATTCCATGGGTGTGGTGTATATTTCGTCTGGGCGACGACGGGGCCACGGAGGCCACCATGGACTGTCTGCAACGGATATGGGGTATCGCGGAGCGCGCGTGCTGGCTGAACTGCCGCCTTGCCGCTCACTGGACGGTCGGTGTGGCGCAGCGCTCGATCGTCTGTCAGCCGGCCGAGCAGCTGCGGGATTTCTGTAAGAGGTTACGGAGCAGTATGATTTCTTACGCAGCCTCGCCCGTTCCGACCCTGTAGTGGATTCTTCGTGTACGGTGATGTAAGGTGTTCCCGGTGAATATGAGGAAATGTCCTGTGGCGAATGTTGGGTCATGAAATTTCCATTAATGTTGTAACGCATATACTCATAGAATTCGCGACGTTCTAATCGAAGGATGCTGTGCGCGCACGGTGTGTTACAATGTCGGCCGTCATTGTGACGGAAATCTTGGCTATCTGGATCTTTACACTTCTTTACAAGTGGCCGCACTTACATCGGCCGAAAAGATGCATGTCTGGTTTTGGTTGTTGATCGATTAAACCACTTTAATGAAATTTTAGCTACGGAAGGTTTCATCGTTAAATAAAGAACCGCTACAACTTAAATTTTCGCCTCAGACTCGTCGCTTTAGGGAACACAAAACATCCATTATACAAGTACAATACAGCATGGGCTGTCGACGGCAGTCGACTGCTTAAACTGCTAATCGAAAAAGTGGAAACTGCGCGTCTCCCACCAAAGCGAGTATTCTCCCGTCTGGACCGGTCTGGTTACGTATTACCATCCATTTTCGGCCGGCAGACCAGCAGCTCATGCAGACGAACAAATCGGTATACAACACAAACAAATATTCACAAACAAACACATTCATAATGTAATTCATAATGGTAGACATGTATTATGTTGTGTAACAAATAACACATGTAGGCGTGTCTGATTGGTCGGCTACAAATCAATGCCTTCGTTCAAAGCCGCCGCCGTAAGTGTCGTCATTTTGCTGGCATCCAACTCGGAGATAGATGACACCGTCCATTTCCGATGGCGATAGTGGGTGGATGGGCGTGGATCTATGCGCTGGTAGGTGTTCAAAGCCTGCAATAGACAATGCACAGTCAGTCCAAATCAATGCGAATGTCGTCGCCGTACGCCTGATATGACGTGGTAAATCGCAACAAGAGTGCGGACTCACCGGAATAATGTGCTTCTCAAGCTGCTCATTCCGCTTGTGCGCCACACAGTCAGCGATCCATTCCGCCAGGACCGGTTGAATCAGCGGTCTCTTGAGGACCAGACAGCGTTCAAAGAGATCCCATAGCTGCATCGCTACTACCTCCCGCGCTTGTGGAATGAACGAATGCTGACCTACAGCTGCTCGCAGCTGATCGTCACAGATGCTGCAGTTCTTTAGCATCACTCTGTCGCACTGACGACAGCCCGCGACCGCGTCAGCCAGGCACTCCATAACCTCCGCAGTCGGTTCCATAACAGCCATCCCAATGCCGAACCAGCAGTCGTACAGCACTAGCGTCGGTATGCGGCTTCTGCTGAGAATAACTGTTAGGAGAAAATCCGCATTACAGATACGGCGATTCCGCATTGGGTATATGACTGTAATTTTAAAATACTGAAATTCTATTTGGCATAGCCAGTACGCATATCACATAAGCCTGCGCAAAATTACACTATTTAAAATGATCAGATTGTAAACCTACTGTTACTGCTGTAATTTTAATAATACCATTGAGCAGCTCGGCGATGTCCTTGCATTTGTCAAAGTCCAGATTCGTAATGACCACCATCTTGGTGGTACTGCGGAGGCACTTGAGCAAGCACGCCGGTGCCCAGTATAAATCATCCACTTGGTAAGGCAAATTGCCATAATCCGCATCATGGCCGGACACGCGGACATCCAGGAAGTAGGCTTCCGTGGTGAGAAGAGTGTTCCACAGGGGACACACACGGTGACAGCGAAAGCGGCCGATGGAGTCCAACGACTGGAACACCTCCACCAGCAGCTCAGTAGGCAGCCCCATGCTCACTTTATCACGGTCATCAGTATTCTTCTCCGGATTAGCGGCGTCTCGTAGATATTTCTGCATTGTCGTGGATGTGCTGCACATTTTGCAGCCATTGGCCTCTTCTCGCTGCGCCCAGACGTAAGTGCTTTCCTGCAAACAGGCGTAGTTATATGGTGCAAATTATTTCGCCGCACTGAAATTCCACGAGCCACTTTTCGCCGTGGGTCATGTGGACGTTGGGTTGCTGCGGGGTGGGATATATAGTTTTGGGTCATTTGAGACTTTCTCATTTCGCGACATTTTGCCGCAGGAAAGCTGGCCGCGGATAATCCGTCTTAGAACTCTCGATTCTTGTGACAACTTAAGAAAACGCAAGAAAGCAAAAAAGGTCAAAGGCTAAAACGTTTTTTGCTTTCGTAAGTTTTCTTATGCTATTTTTCTCCGCGTTTTGCCTGGTTTTGTAAGCCTGATAAACTCCTTGGGTGTTAATGAAATACCTCGACGTTGAAACGACCTCGCGACCAAAGGTCGCGCGATGGTGAAATGTCGGCGCCCAAATGTTCTGCGACTACACGCAGTTTCACCCTCCGAAATGTCGTAATCACGACTGATGAAATGTAATCATAAGCCCCGTGCTGACTTCATTCATAAGGATCATTACTCGTTACTGTAAATATTTATTTATTTTTGCGGTTTTTCTTTGCGTAAAGCTTTCGCTACTGCGAAAGCTTTTGCTGTTATGAGTAGTCTACGACCTCGTGCAAGTTACACCTGATCGTCGCAGACATTAAGCCCATTAAACAAACAAACAAACTTCTGTTTACGCGAAATTCCACGCCTGTCAAACTCAAAGTTTAAAAGTAATGATTTCCTGTCTGCCCAATTGAGAGAAATGGAATTACTTTGCGATTTGTGAGTAGCACCCCAAGGCGATTGGAGAACTTCCACCTTCGCCCGGATCGACCGTTTAAGGAGATGGCTGAAATCATTTAAGATCCCAAAATCTGGCCATCAAATGTTTTTTTTACGGGACTGAATTTATTAATCTATCTGCAGTATCGTTTCCTTTGTCCTGGCAATGAGCTATGTTGTCGAATCCTGAATGTATCCCTAGTATGTAATCAAAAATAGCGCCGTTTTTGGTAACCATGAGTCAATCGCTTAACAAAACCGTAAATCCTGAATCAAATGCCCTCGGCTTTTTCCAAGATCTTATTACGGTATTATTACGATAGAGGGAAGCTTGTTACGGTAGGGCGGGGGATAGCATATGAAATGAATAATGTGAGTGCGGGTCTGGGTTATTCCGTCGAGGGTACGTTCGCGCCCATAAAGTCCGACGTTATAAAAACGCGCTTATGAGATTCTAGCTGTCAGCAGCTCTTTGGGGGCCGGGCGGCAGTTTCGGGAGGCGGGCGCCTACAGATATTATTTCATCACCCACAGGAGACGGGAGGGTGCATTTAAAACCGCAGATAGTGTTAATTTCGGCCGGGCCGGGGGCATAATTCGGGTGTTACGGTTTTTACCAAGATCCGAATTAAGAAAATTTCACTTACTACTTGGTAAGTTGTCAATGGACTCGCATGTCGACTCTGCAAAATAGCGGAGCGTCTGGCTGCGCCATGAGAATGAGATGCACACGATTCTGAATCTTTGCGTCAGCTGCAGCTTGATGATCTTCTCTAACAACGGCGACCCATCAGCGGCGGGGAGCAGACAGCAACGAGCCACAAAGACCTCCTTCCCCACGCGACCCTCCGCGAGATCCTGGGCGGAGGGCGGTCGCCGTAGTTGGCCGCCGGGAAGCAGCTCCTTCCGGGTGCCACACGGCAGTTGTACTTTCACCCAATCAAAAGTTTCATTGTCATAGGATCCCAGAGAGACAACCGTTGCAGGATACCAGATCCACGCACCGTCCGACGGGCGGCGCATCAGTATCTGCTTCATGGGGACCTCGGTCTCGCTGAGAAAGTGGTGGTGCTGCAAACTGAAGATCCGTCCGTATTCGATAAATTGCGTCCGCTGCGTAGCAATACGAAAGTCAATGATCAGTCCACCCTGCACGACGTCGACCACTTCGCCGTGCTGCAGCAGTCCGTCGACCAGGACGTCCACGCAGTACCACGCGTCCCACTGGTGTTCGTCGTCGCCGTAGAAGTGCATCGCGTCGTGCTCGCTCCGTTCTCACACGGCTAGGCAAACTGCTAGAGGAAGAATGAGCTTTTCGATCTATGCGAAACCGAATGCGAAACACAAAAGTTCTAGTTTTAACAAGTCACAACGGATAGCAACTGTAAGGCAGTGTAAGTGCCCTAACTCTTACTGTAAACGCGAAATTTCGTCGTTATGGCTCTTCTACTGAATCAACTGCAAAAACATGTGACTGGAGAATGGAGATCCGAAATCGCAATAATCTGCTCTTTTAAACGTGCCCGTCACTCTGGGTGGTCATGTGATCGTCTGTCCTTTAATTACAAGAACTTTCTTTAGTACTCGTATATAAACAAGGATTTTTATTTAAGGAACGACTGGTCTTTATCCTAATTGTTACTTCTGCCATAGGTAGGGCCACCTGTATCCCATAAATCTACAATATGGGAAAACACGCGGTGTCTTTAAATAATAGCTTTTTTTCATAAAAGGGATAAATGGGAGAAAATACACATAAAAATAGCACTTCAACGACACTTGTCCGGATAATCGTTTGCATGGGCGGTTATAGACTACACCGTGACACCATTTAACACAACCAACCAGATCTAGAGCAGAAAATAGCCGATAACACATCAGTTAAAATCTATAGCTAAAAGGGTTAAAAGGAAAACGAGAGTCCCGATGCATTTTTTTGTGTAAGAAAGTGTTGCAAAAACGTTTGTCAAACTTCAGCTTGCTCTAATGAATAATAAATATCCGGCGCACTTGCCAAAAACGTGAAGCGAGGCGGAAACTTCCTTGTCCAGTAATTTCGTTCCATAATAGCGTCAGGTGTCTTGAAAAGAATTCCGGGGATGGCAGCGATGTCCGGCGCAGTGTTGAATCGTAGTCATCCAACAGCTAAGGGAAGCGTGACGGTACATGGTACAAAATCGTACACATGGATCAAAGTTTCGCTTTCCAAACAATTTTCAGCGTTGGTTTATGATAATCTGTTGCTGTATGACGTTGTATTGACACGAAGACCACTGGCGCGGAATTTCAGAACTCTTGAAAGCCATTCATTTTGACAATTTGAATGAAATGGAAATGGGGGTTGTAGAAGAATGGTAGTTTTAAATATGTGCGTTAATGTTAATAATGTACAAAATTTGAAAAAGATCGGTTGATTACGAGGCTACTGGTACACTGGTGGCCATTAATCGTTTTGGACTTTTATTCCGTCCGTAACGCTCCAACCGAATAATGCGCGCACAAATTATTGTTACGCCAACATATACTGTACAGATGGCCACAGAACGCCGAAAACAAGTGCAATAAAGTGCTTTAGTGTTGGTGAAAGCGAGAGTTGCGTATGCGTACGAGGAGGGGGTAAATACACGGGATAGACAGAAAAAACGGCAATAATAAGGGATAACCATTCACGTGTTGTGCAAAACGGCCAGCCACCAATAGAAGGCAGTTCAGTGACACAGTGCAGAACAGCCGTTGAGACTCCAGTCTCGAGCTGTTTCTCCGTAGACTTCTATGTTAAACTTAACCACCTTCATCTTGCACATTTCAGAACCAATCCGCACAATCGATAGCTCAAAAGAACAAGAAAAAATTTACAAGATTTTTGATACCAAATAACTCGCCACTTATTAAAACTGAGGCAAGATTGAGCCATTTGAGTTTCTCGTAGACTAAGCATAGGAAATTGGATGGTTTGCTTTCACGGAGCTCCTATGCTTTGTCTATGGGAAACTTAAGTGGCTCTTACTTGTCTTGTTTCTCATAGATCACGGCTTGCGTGGTATCGAAAATCTTGTTAATTATTTCTTGTTCTTTTAAGATACAGATTGCACGGTTTGATTCTGAAATGTCCAAGACGCAGGTGTTTGAGTATAACATAGGAGTCTACGGAGAAGGCAGCTCGGGTCTCAAAGCCTGAATTTTGTGTAGTGTCGCTGGACTGCCTTCCCATGGTGGCTGGCCATGCTGCACAACACGTGAATGGTTATCCCTTATTATTGCCGTTTTTTCTGTCTATCCCGTGTATTTACCCCCTCCTCGTATACGAATTTGGCGCGATGTGCCCGAACATTTCCCTTAATGATCTCGCCGCTTGATTCCGCATTAAGGTTTTTCGAGTTGTAAACAAAGGGAATTAGACGCTTTACCTCAGCCACCACAATGACGCCTGGACTCCATCGGGCGCATCTGGAGTCGGCGTGGTACTCGCAGCAGGACCGCGGCCAGTTCCGCTTTTCTGCCATCCGTCCATTCGACAGCGCCCGGCCGGTAACCGAGCCCCTCCCAGCGGTTCGGATTGTTTTCAGTGAGGTCCCGCAGTTGCTTCTTCGTATCTTGCCTCGACTGGTTGCGGAAGCAGTAGCTGTAGGAGATGACTAGCATGTGGCGTGTCATTTTCTAAAACCTGAGCAATCGTTTACAGTATGTGAATTATTCGGTGAATACACTTAAATATTGTGAGCGTGTATATGTGAAGGCTATTGGTAAAACAAGCCAGTACGGCTACCAAGCCGAACAAAGCGTTTTATGGCAATATTATCGAAATATGGCATCTAGAGATAGGACTGCGGTTGCCGCTTGATTGTACTGTGCTCGGTGCCGAACTTCGCACTGGGAAATAGCACTGCCGAAAGGCGGCAAAAACCAATACTTCCAACTTAAAAGTGAACGTGTTCAAAACAACCTTACCGTACAACTTTGGTGCAGCGCCACAGGCTTACGACTATCCTCAACGTTCATGAGTAACGTATGGAACACGGAATTACAAGAAACTGGTTTTATTTTTTGTTTTCCCAGTTTTCAGATCTTCTACAAAACTAAGCTAAACCGACCGGTAAACTCGTTGCACTCGCCACTCTGTGCAAAGGCAGCCACATGAAGCACAACTGTACAATAAAAGCCTCTTATTTCGTTGTCAAAACGAAGATGCTGGTCACGGTGACGGTTGCGTTAGTGCAGAAGCCAGAAGGTCAGCATGTCGCCTTTCCCCTGAAACATACGCGCATCCAGTTGATGTTGTTCGCATTCCGAACAGTTATATAACATTTCAGCGCACTGCGGAACACTAGTCTGCATTAGCCGATGCCTCGGCACACGGTTACACTAGCAACGTCGCAATTGTAGATTTTGACGACGGTGGCATCTGTTATATTACGTACGTCGTACGCTCAAAAAAGTGTAATCGCTGTGTTGACAATTTGCGTGCTGGAGTGTCAACTAACGCAGCCAGGTATCCGGATTGCGAAGAATAATTATATGGTGTGAGTATGCAAAAAATTAGTATGATCCTGATTACTGTACAGTATGATCCTGATTAGTAAAATGCGGGATCGTAAGATCAGCAGGTCAGCTGTTAACTGACCTTAATTGATAGCAGTCCTCTCTCTTGTAGGCGAAAGCGGTGACCGGTGTCGGTATCAGCCAGGAGGTCGCGGCTGGCCTGGCTGAGGTGGATGCGGCCGCCCTCACCGTGGCTGTTCATGCGGGCCGCCACGTTCACTGTATCACCGAACCTAAAGCAGGGTACGTATAACACGCTAGAATCACACAAGTCGCTACCATCCGTTGCACGCCCGCCCTAAACCATTTAACCACTAAGAAAGCAACGATGATCGCCGAGAGACACGGAAGGCACTACGATAACGTTAGCAGTCTATCACTTGCGTACGCACTTACAAGCAGTAGCGAGGTACGCGCATGCCGACCACCCCAGCGGCACAGGGACCTGCAAAAACGAGCGCGCTGGAGTGCGATCCGTTTCATGCTAGCAATGCCCAGAACCGTAGAAATAATGCACTGCACCCGCGGTAATGCATGTACTGTAGAAGCGTACCCGAGTGGATACCGCACCGCAATCGCAGCGCAACGGGCTCAGAACCGTCTTCCCCTGGCATCACTACACGGCTGTGGTCAATGACTCCGCTGCTTTCCAGCACTTTCATTAGCTTGATGGACATCTGGCACACCTCCAAAGCATGTTGATTATCGCCTCGAGCAGGGATTCCACTCACCGCCTGTAACACCAGAGTTTGGGCCAAAATATCTCGCTATGAGTTCCGTCAGTTTCAACCGACCATGTAGCTGTCGCGCACCGTCTCCACCTTGTAGACATCCATCTCCTGGATGGCCTCGTCAAAGGCGCTGAACATGGACGTCACGGCTTGGATTACCGCTCCCGGCGGCACGTGACTCACCCAGTCGACAAAGCCGTCGAGATCGGAGAAGATGATGCTGACGCAGGAATAATACTCCGCTACCATCGTTTGCCGGTTGCGCAGGTGATCCACGACGGACCTACGAAGAACCATACAAAGACCGGAGAATTTTAAGGAGGTGTACAAAGCCATAGAACCCTGCTTGGTAACTCTCAACTGTACGATGGCTGATGATCGCGACCAACCTGGGCAGAAGTTCCCGGAGCAGATCGTCGCATTTCCTCCGCTCGCTGATTAATTCCTCGGTCTGTAACCGCACCGCCTCGTTCAGCGTCAGCGTGTAGGCCTCGAAGCGGCGAATGATGCTGTCGACGATATTGTTGGATACCGGCTGCCCGGGCACATGCATTCGCCCGATGGTGGTCAGCAGCTGCTTGGCGGTGGGGCGCAGGGAAGGGTTGGTGCGCAGGCACAAGTTGGCCAGCTCGGCCAGGCGCCGTTGGATATCCGCGTCTGCGTTGGTAATCTCGTTCGCTGCATCCGGAGATGCCTCTCTGGTCGGTAATTGGTACGACACGTTACTGGCGGATTGATGGATAATGAATAGGAGTATCTGCCCGACAGCGTAAACGTCTCTCGGTAAAGCCAGGTCTTTGGCAGAACCAGCAGCATCTAGGTCGTCGCTCGGCGACAGAGCGTGGCCAATGTCGGCGTAACCGAACTGGCCAATACGCAGCGTAAAGCGGTCGTCGATGAGGCAGCAGTTGGAGCGGAGGCGGCCGTGCGGGCGGCCAAGGGTAGTGTGCAGATAACTCATACCCTGATGTTAGATTGATCAGTTATATTAAGAACATTTGAGGAAAGGTCACTTTTGTGTTGCCCCTTACTTTGGCCAAATCGCGTGTTAATGCCAGCTGGAAATCCTCGTCCAGTTTCATCCCTTCCAACAGGGTTACCAGCGAGCCGCGCTTATAGTAGTCTGAGAAAATGAAGGCTCGGTGTGCCAGAATAACAATTCCCAGTAGAACGTTAACATTAGGGTGCTGTTAGATAAGCAAACACAGTCATTGTCTAGCGGTTGAACGGTTCAACGCCGGCAATCATTTTCGTGCACTGACCGTTGTGTCGGGAACGCACTGCGCCACTAACGCGAGGTTAGGCTGGCCCTCAACATTCAAAGCCGTCACCCAGACTGTTCTCCCCCTCCACGACACCGGAGTGACGACGTGTGTTCCGCTCCTATCCAGCCTGGCGTCCAACTCGTTCTCGTTGATTAGCCACCAGTAGCGTGAGCGGGCATTACGCCGCGCTCGTTTTCTGCTTAATACAGCAGGAAAAAATTTCTCCCAACGTTTCACTTATTAGCTTTAATGAAATATGTTTGCTTTGGGCCGGTTTCTGGGCACAATTTTGTAGGTAACCGCAGACGAGAGTACTCACCGGATCCCACATATTGTGGCACAAGATGCAGCCAAGGTCACCACAGCCACGCAGGTAGCAACCGGAAGAGCAACGCCCAAAATGCCTTTGCTCAGCGCTAATGGCAGCATATTATCGTCGTAATTATGCGATATCGTCGTACCGTCATAATCATGGACTACGGGGCGCAGATACTTTTAAAATTAGCTCTCATACCGCGATGGCGACAAGGCCCTTCCAGTCCAGAGAAGCCGCACACGGGAACATCCAGCGGCGGGCTTCCGGTCGGCCAGTCCTGCACCGACCGGTTTTTCAGTTCGAAGGCGCCACTGACGGAGCGATACACCGCGAATACCTGCACGAAAAGCAGTAATCCATAATTAAGGTCATCGTGCCTAATAAACCGTACCATGTGACGACAGTTACACTCATATTTCTTGTCTGCGAATCGAACTTCCAAATGTCGACGTCCTGGCTGGACAATCCATGAGAGTCTACCCGGACATCAGCGTGCGACAAGTTGAAGGTGCGATTGAAGAAGAGCGACGCCAGGTGGTCGCCGGTGCAGAAAGTGGCGCGCTGCAGACTGGTCAATCGGCGGTAATTATCGAGGTTGTTGACCAGGACGTCACCGATTAGCTGAAAGGAAGTGTAGGCCGCACGTGCAGCGTAATTGCTCAGCGGCTACAAAGGACAGCACATATTAATTTCGGTTCCATCTACAATGTATGCGTGCACGTCCGCAATAAGAAACGTAAATCAGTATAGGTACCTGGAATCCTGGCTCGTAGGTGTTGTTGTAGAGATCTTGGGCTAATTGGCGCAGTTGTTCGTTCAGTTGCCGCTCGTCGTCGGTGCCGTCGGCTTCGTGGAAGACGATGAACATCAAGTTCCACGTTAAATTTAACATCTACCGTAACAAAAGTCTAGAGCATGCAGATTTCCAATATATGACCTTTCTTCACACTCACGACTCACGACTTACTGTACACGTACATCATATGATTCGTATCGGTATATCGGTATATAACGTATATTGTGTCATTTTTGTGAGCGTGAATGTGTCTTTTATATTTAAAAGACAGGGACAACTCAGACAACGGAATACAGTAAAACCTGTGACTTTGAACACTCGCGTAAATTGAACACTGGTGTACATTGAACGGTTATTACGGAACCGGCGCGTCTCATAGACTATAACACAAGGGGGCCCTCGCGTATATTGAACAACTCCCTAAAGTGAACATTGAACAAATTAGCTGGAACGGACCTAATTATTTACTAATATTTAGACCTTTCGAGAGTGAACAAAGCGTCGGAATCTGGTTTCGAGAGCGAAAAAACCCAAAAAAAAACGCGTAACGGCCCAGAGTTCACAGACATGCGCTGGTTACAACAATAACTCCACGTGATTTTTGATTTACAGGGGTGCCAAGCCAAGTTGGGGCAGTTGTGTAAAATTAAATTTAAAAAATTTGCAGTACGCAGTTCTCTTTTCATTTACGCATTTTTCTAGCTAAACTTTTTCTTGCCGATCCAGCAGTGTCAAAGTTGAAATCGTTTGCCGTGACAGTAAAGGGCAAGACTGGGATTTATGGGAAGGGGGAGTGGTCATTTTTCGGAGGCTTATAACTGCTCCTCTGGAAAATACGCCAACTGATACTTTTATGTGAACATGTTTGAAACCTGTTGAGTGACCCAGAAGGTGTCCGTGAGGGGTCAACATAGGGACGTTATGCCATCATTGCTCGAGGTGACTTCGAAACAAGTTTCATCTCCCATAGACTTGTATGTTAAAAGGCACCTTCAGGAAAATGCGATTGCTTAGAGCACTGATCCCTTTAGACAAGATGTCAATGCTTAAACAAATGCTAGGGAGGTTCCGTTAGGCGACTACGCTATCCGCTAAAACTTCTCAGTTTCCTCCAATTTTTAAATAGTTCTCGAATAGACTTGATTATTTCTTAGTAAGCAGTGCCATTTTTTCATCAAAAATTAGATTATAAATTTGGATCCCGTTCCCTGACCCTCAGTTTTTTGCATGGAAACAAAATAACTGAAGGTGCTATGGACCAAGAACTATCATGGAAAGATTTGATAAAAATTTTCCACTTCACTGGTAGAAGTTTAGGAATTTTTTTAACTGCCCCAACTTGGCTTGGCAGGGCTGTATTATGAGCGAAAATAGCGTAAAAAAGGCTTGCTAACGGGGCTGTCCCCCTTGAGGCGGCGCCTGTTCGCTTTCAGGGACAGCTTTAAAACGCTGAAGCACTGTCTTCAAGGGCGCCCCCCTGGGGGCAGCTGTTCTGTACATTTAACAGGCGTCTACATTGAACGAAAAATATGGAACCGTAGGTGTTCAAAGTACGCAGGTTTTACTGTACTGCATCAACAAGTCGCCTTGTTGCGCTATTCAGACGTGCCTAAACGCAGCAGAATTTCCCAGATAAAAACAAAAAAAAACGGCAAAAACGTTAACTTACTCACCAACGGAGTGGGATTGTTGAAAAAAGAAGCCTTTCCATAATAATTATTCTGGACAGCCTGTATATTGAACAGCATCTGCAAATTTAAGGAAACGGTATAATAATGTATCCAGCGGCACAGCAGCCATGAAGCAGGCAGCTGAGCAGGATACGCACGTATTCTCCGTTGATCATTCCGAGCTGACTGGCGAGATCCTGAAGATACTCGTATGTAATAAAATAATTAGTATCCTAGACTGGTGTGTACGTATAACAGAATGAATGACTGAATAACAAATACAGTATCACGACGATACGCGTTATCATTTTTATGTCCACCAATAAAACTGCCATAATCACGAAGGTAGGCAAGATATTTATAATCAGGTAGGCTACGGATCAGGTACCATAATCAGGTAGGCTACGGATCCCGAGGCACACAGGATGAACACTGCAATCCGAGAACAAGTAGTTGCTAATGAGTTTGTAATCAAACATCGCGAGAGGTTGACGCACCGCGACTGGTATCTTTGGCGCGCAGCAGGCCATCGACAATGGAGGCGTTGTCATTTGCCTGGAACGGATACGTGGCGATAGTGGTGTTGCTGTTGGCAAGGCCATCTTGGAAAGCCACCGCCTTCGCGGCGTTGAGGATGCTGGAATAGAAGATGGTTGGGGCGCGCGTGTCCAGGAAGAAGGCCACGTGCGACCAGCCCCAGTTGTTCAGAATGGCCCATAAAGTGCGCGCCAGGCCTATTTCGCTGCCCGCTACGTTCAACATGTGCGATGCTGTCGGTAAGGGTGGAAGGGAAGAGAGCGTTGCAATGCCACTAAGGGAAATTAATTACAAGTAATACAACAAATTTTTTTCCCAGATGTCGGCACGAGCATTGTGACTTACTTATTGAAAAAGAAGGCATTCCATGCTGTGGAAAAGAAGAAACAGTCGATATGCAATTAAACCTTGTCCCGTAACTTCAACCGTAAAAGTATAGATTGCACGGATTTGGCGCGAAGCTTGCACTATGCACGATCGTCACTTCTTTACATCTACCACAATGACAAATTTACTCCTCTCCATAATTAAGGTAATAATAAAGGAGAAAGGTCAACGCTTTATATGGATATTTTATAATTCAGATCGATATTCTGCATGTTGCAGCCATGCCAAGTGCATGCAGAGCGAGATAGTGTGGCGTGGCGCGCCGTAGAAGTTTAGCCTAACCCGGGTGGATTTGTATTTGTAGCTGTGCTAATGGTACCAATGCGTCCGAAATTACGGGGTAATTGTATTACTTTCGAAATAATATCAATTATCATGACTGGCGGCTTACCGTCCGACAAGCAGAGCAGCTGAAAGTAGTCCATACACGCTGCAGGAGAAACCCATGCGTTAGAACTCGAACACAATAACGTCACTGCTCTCACAGCGTGTGCCTACTATGGGTGAAGTAGATGTTGCAGGTGTTGGGCGCGTGATGCTTTAAGTTATGCCGGTAGTAGACATCGGCCAAAAGCCTGGCTCCGTTAGTACCGGCGGTCAAGCAGGTCTGGTTGTACATGGCGTCCACGGGTTGTAGCACGAAACGCAGTCCCCGCTCCGCATACCGCTCGTTGGCGCGCTGAACGGCTAAATGCATTGCCGCACCCATCCATGCCAGCCCGATCGGTACGCCGGGATCCCACATTTGTGGACTGATCACCCGTACTTCCAATACCGAGGCGGCAGCGGCCTGCCCATTGTCTCGCCCATTGACCGGCCACCTATGCAGGAAAAAGCACAGAGCCATCCAGCAAACTTTACATCCGTGCATTTTTGTTACGATAGGATTGTCTATGAATAATATGCCCTAAAGCAATTCCGATATACCCGTTCTACTATGCTAGTTTCCATCGTGTCTACGAATCAGCAGGCGGTGCATCTTGATACATACCTTCTCATTATCGATTTACTGCTCTGCATAGAAGCCGGTGACTGTTTCACTGCGCAATTTAAATGTGCAATATCTAACAACTGTGCAACCTAACGACTGAGCAATACATGGTTAATAAACGCTTACGTAATATCGAGTTACAAGCCTCATCTATGCCTGGCTTGGTCGATTCTCGATCGCAAATAATGAGGTAATTGGTTAATCCAAGCGATCTTTACACGAGCGTGTACACTTACAGGATGCATCCACAGATGTTCTTAATGAGTTTCTCGGATTGTCAATTGCCGCCTACCCCTGATTCGCTTGAAAATGCTGCCCGGCTACTGCGACAATAATAGCGCTCCCTCATGTCTTTAGCACGTAATTCCCGAAGGAAATCCTGTGACACTAATTGGATGCGGGCCTGAAGAAGAATATGTCCGGTTGCTTAATTTGTGGCTCATTTGTATAGTCACAACCGGTGTGCGCGCCCTATTTTTTGATTAAAATTAGTGGTAACGGGAGGTTCCACTGTAGAAGTATAGATTGTGTGCCTTTTGTAACACCATTGTGACAACAACCGTCTAATCTGTACTTCCAGTTTTTATTCACGTCCAACATCATATACTGAAAACCTCAAGAAAACATAACTTATTACTCAGCATCAACTGACCCATGCGGTCTAATCATAGAGAACATTTGATCTAAATTTGCGCCTATCGGTGCCGTTCCCAAGATAGATGCCGCATTGCCGCGTTGGATTTCGATGCTGATCCGCCGGCGCAGAAATCCCGTGGCTCGCTTTTCTCCGGTTTCCAGGTGTTCTTAACAGTAGAATGTTTTTTCCTGCAAAAGATTCCATGCTGCTAAATGGCGAGACACCATATCAACAGAAAATTGCTTTGCTGAGAATGCCCATGATTAGTTTGTGGCATACGGTGCGGAGTTGTTAAGGAACAGCTGACTCATGCCGCTCTACGATAAAACTTATTTTGAGTGCCAATGCCAGGCTTTGTCCTCAACTGCTCATGATGCGATCGGTCCAAAGTACAACACCGAAGTACGAAAATCCTGCACATATCCGGTTCGGTGTTAAATATTAAATGTTATTAATAATAAATATTACCACTTGGCGGCCCATGTGAGGTGAGCAAAACGATCTCTTTGCGGCCCCGACTCCAGTTAACCGTTTTTTCTTTTAACTGGAAGTATCGAAAAAAAAGATCAGCCCTCAACTATTTCTTCTTCATAATTATCTTACAGTTGTTAGATATTGACAGAACTCTGAGGACAAATTTATAATGGTAGTAGACTTAGTGTCTGGCACTCGTTCATACCGCAAACTTCGCACTAAAAAGCACGTGCTATTTGTACCTTTACATTTAACGGTACCTTATTAGAAATTTAGCTATTTGTATCTTATTAAAAATTTAACGGGATAAGCTTGTACAACCATACTCGTACTAAGTGCCTTTTATTGAGTAATTTACCCGTAAAACTGGTCTTTTGCAATTTACATGCCTTTTTCATCCAGCAAGAATATTAATGATGCTAGTGTCGTGTATAAGCGTTCACGCTGGTTAGAGCTCCATGAACAATCTTTACTCTTCCACGCCTGTAATGTCAGTCGGTAGGCACTCGTACTCTCAAACTGTAACAGATGAATTATGATGAAAATAAGACGAACGAATCAGGAACACGAGAACTCAGGAATCCCTAACGATAATCCAACTACAATCTCCGGTCGTAAGTCCTGTGAGGATCGGCAAGAGCTAGGACGATTGTGTCACGAGCAAACCTGTATACTAAGCGATAATCCGGGAACGACTATGCACTTCCGTAGGAACAAGTATTGCTGTCTCTTTATCCAATTCACATCACAGTTCACAACGCTAGGAAATTGTAATTAGAAAGCAGTCTCAGAAGTAAATCTCAGACTACTGATACCGATATTAGGAATGACCAGAACTTATATAGACTTCGCGTTATGACATCAGATACACCGTTAGTAAAACAGAACAGCAAATCACAGCATAGATTGACTAGATTATCCGTTTGTATTGCAGGTGGAAGGCGGACAGTCAGCATCTGTACGTACATCCGGCGTGTGATCCCACACGTCACTAGGCTCTACACATTCACAATGTGTCACATTATATTACAGTGTGATAATATGTTATCACATTATTATAGTGTGGTGGTTGTTAATGTGATAACATATTATCACACTGTAATATAATGTGACACATTGTGAATGTGTGATGCTGTCATCCATCATCGTATGAGCACAGATAAAGCTGCCGACATGATCGTTGACCGTATATGCACTAAATTCAAAAACATATAATTCGTTCAGCTGTCAGGGGATCGGCGTCCCGCCACTGCAGGTAAAGAAGCGCTTGACGGTGCGGGACGGTGTACAGAGCTTCACAGAGTCGGCTCAAATGGCGTTGGAAGGTCTCGGCGATGTAGCAGTGGATGGTGGATTGCCACGGGCAACAACGGACCACAAAGTCGTTCTTCTTCACGCGTATCAGCTCCGAACTCTCGTCCGTATACGGTAGGCACCGTATCCGTACCTGATCGCTGGGCACCATCTCGATGATGGTGCGATTCGGCATCTTCACTTGCACGAGTGTCACACCCGAGGGACTATGGTTGAAGTACAATACAACTGTGAGCCGTTTTCTAGATTAAGTAACTGCGTTTCGAAATGAAATTGCAGGGCAACTGATACGAAGAGGTTGAAACGTATAACGGAGAAGTAAATTCTTTTGTGGTATTTTTCCTTGTCTGGTGCACAAGATTTAAAATACCTATATAATATCACCACATACCAGCATTTAAAATATGCTGCCATAATTTAAGCACCTGCAATCAACTGACGGATAAAACACCATAAGCATAACGTTATATGTAATATTAGGCGTTTAAATTGCCCGTAAAAAATTCTTTTTGAGCTGCCAGAGATAAATGAGATTTGATGTTGAAACATAGAAAGATAATAATATACCGTATCTCAAATTTTAGAATTTAATAAAAATAAGCATATAAACTAAATGGCGGTATGCGGAGCCAAAAATGGTGTTAGAATTGAGGGTAGACAACTGGATTCACGGTGGATATGCAGCGGTACTATGAACCAGCGGTGGATGCCGGTGACACATTTAAAATCATATGAAACTGCGGAAAAAATACTTTTGAAAATATACTACGAGTCTGCAATTCGACGTTTGAAACTGGATAAAACCGTTAAGTTAAAGTCAGATTTCGGCTTTACCGGTACTTGTAGCCATGCACGGTCATGCCGATATGCCATATCCACGCGCCATCGGTCGGGCGACGCAGCAACACCGACACGGCCATCCAGAAAGTGCCCTCCCCGGAATTGCCGAAGCTCGGGCTCCAACGGAAAATGCGGCCGTACTCGACGAACTGCGAGTGCTGTGCGTGACATCCAAAATCAACGATCAGGCCGCCGTCCACCATGTTAATAACGCGGCCGTGCTGCAGCTGACCGTCAACTTGAACGTCCACGGCGTTCCACGCGTCCATCTCGCCACCGTAAAGATGCATGACGCCAGCTGTTGTTTATGCCGATAATTTATACCGATTTAACCGCAGGTAATTACGCTATAATTGTCAGAAACGGGATTTTGCACAAGTAACTCCGGGAACTTTCTGCGACAGGCGAAATTGCGCTAATTTAATATATACGGTGCACTGGCTCCTAAGAAGGCCAATATCGTAGAATACTGCCAGGAAAAAATTAAGATAGCGCGTGCAATTGCACTTGAAGGATTGTATACGACATTAGTAAACTAAATACCTTTAGTCAAATAATAGGAAATGCCTGATGGGTCGGCACGGAAAAGTTATCGAGATACGGTATCTGCAAAAATCAAGATAAAGCTGCACAACTTAGACACGCCGTCAACACATGCATGCTGACTACCAACTTAGACGTATAAAAAGATTTTAAAATTTCATTCACTGTGCTCGTTGAAAAACCTCAAAGGTCAAAGTCATGTTTAAAAAACCCCGACTGGATGCGATAACACGATTCTACCACGGCTTCTGTTTAGCCGAGGGTTCCTAATTTCTATGCGCTTTCTGCTCACTGCTTGATAGATAACGCTGATTATTTACCCGCTATTCATTTTATTCGCATGCTGACGCAATTTCCTGCCGACGCCTAGCCCGGACACCACATCGGGAAAGCATTTCAAATATTGATTACGTGATAAATAATATTTCTATACGAGCTTTTCCTATCAGAGTTTCGGTTATTGGCGTCCCAGTCGGATATATATGGCTAGTTCCAAACACAGCGCTGTGTGGACGAAGGCGGATGTACTGTACACGCGGGTTACGGTCCCGGGGACAGCTGCAAGCATTCGGCACTCAGTATTCGTCGCCTGCTGAATCGCTGATTACCTATTAATATTGTAAGCGTAAAGACAGTCTGTTAGGCTTCTTAGGGTACTTTAAGTGCACTTAACGGGATCGTGAAAAGCTTACCCCATCCTCATCTCTACAGCATACCAATTCTGCTTTTCGACCAGCAATCCACCGGAGTGCCTTCTCCCGATGCAGGTAAGGTTTCCAGCCAATTAGATTGCTCTCCACCAGCTCCCACACCTGCATGCCCGTATCCCGGCTCGACTCAACGCTTCGCAAGGGGACCAGTGCTTCTAGATCGCCATCCGAGATGCGGCACTGTTTCAGCATGAATCGGTCGTACGTCGCCGTCCACTCCAAAGCCAAACTTGACATTCGCCCGACAATTTCATCGATCCGTTGATGGCAATCGTCGCGGTGACGGAACGTACAGTCATAGAACACCAGTAGCGGCACGCGGTCGGCGTTCAGCAGGTGACGGGTTAGCGCGGACAGTTGTCCACATCCAGTCAAATCAGATCCGTGATAGCCACCGTCTTGACATGATGGTTAAGGCATTTCAGCAAAGCAGATACCACCCAGAACATGCCCTCGATGGAGAAATCCTGCTCACCATCGTAATATTCGCTACGGCCTGTCACGCGCACATCGGGGAAGCTGGTTTCGTTGAGAATGTTGTTCCACACTTGACAGACACGCCGACATCGGACGCGTCCAATGGAGTCCAGTGAATGGAATACCTCCTCCAGCAGTCTATCTTCCAGCGGCAACGGCAGGCTCATGTGCTGACTTTGGTCAGCTTCCGGCTCTTGTCGGAATCTGCTAATCGTCCAGCGGCGCCATATCAACGAGGTTGTCTTTATTGTAGCGCGGCCGCTTGCCTTCTCTTGCACCGCCGTATTGTATGCTTTATCCTGCAGACACCGACATTGTAATTACTTCTGGTGTCGACTTTAAACAAGCGAAAGGCGCAGTATGTCATCAAAACAGAACCATGCTACATACGGTATACAAGGCATTGTAGATATGGCATAGCATCGTTGAAATCTCAGCCATGAATTGTACTATTCGCACCCGATGTACAGACAGGTACATGATTGTACTGTGCCAGTTTATCGGAGTTGGCTATGGCGTTCTGCTCTTGGTTTTTGCTAAGTGCCTCAAATTCTTTCGTCGATCTTACATGCGAACTTTTCGAGTTCCGCCCAAGAACCCCAAGGGCCTAAGAAAACCTGAAGAAATTTAAGAAACCCTGGAAAAAACACTAAAACAACATGCACACTAAGGTAGCTTAAAAATCTACAAGCAGGCTGTCGGTCAACGACATAGTTGTCTGGGCAAAAATCTTGCAGAAAAGCGAACTGTGCAACTCATCAACCAGCGCCGACTAATACAATACCCTACATTTCACACTAATGTCCGCTATGATAATAGCATACTCATACCATGTCCTGAGGTGTTAATGGATCGTCACGCCGATGTTGTAGATAGAGAAGGGTCTGGCGAAACGGGAGGGTACACGACACTCTATATTTTTCACACTGGCCGCGGTCCATCAACGCACGGAATGCCAGTGACCAGCGGGTGGCCGACAATTCCGCTGGTCGGCTGTTATCTGTTAACGGGCAGCAGCGGATCACAAAGTCATTTTTTTTCACGGGCTTCAGCGGAATCATCGCGAAACTCTTTTCACTTTAGACCTGCTGCCAGGGGATCAGCTCGGTAACGGTGCCGTGAGGCTGGTGGAACTGCACGAGTGCCGCTTTTCGGTAACCACCGTCTCCCTGGGAGGTTACCCTGCCGCCCTTATGCCACATCCATGCTCCGTCGCGCTTCTGACGCTGCAACACGTACACCGGCGTTCCCGGGCATGGTGGTTCATCTGCGCTGCGCTGGAAGATGTGATTGTATTCGACAAACTGCGAGCGTTGTGCGGAGCAGTGGAAATCAATGATCAGACCGCCCTCCACCACGTTAATAACGCTGCCGTGTTGCAGCTTGCCGTCGACGAAAGCGTCCACGGCGTTCCACGCGTACACGTCGTTTGCGTAAATATGCATTGTGTGGTCCTTATTTTAAATATTTGTTTCTTAATGCTAACGCGAATTCGGTGTTTCTTGATGCGGTAAAACTGTCAGAAAGCACCGACCGCGATGATTAGACTGGGGCGTTGTCTCCTGCAACACTTGTGAAGAGAACACAGGTACAGTGGAACCTCCCGACCCTGAACACTCTCGGTACGGGGTTTCTTGTTCAAGGTTCGGAGGTGTTCAGGGTTCAGAAGTACTGCCCCTGGGGGGGCGCATAAAATTCCATTGGGGGGGGGGATAATTTATATTATATTAGTGCGTATACCAATAAATAAAAGGATATATTATACTGTCCTTAAATATATTTCAGTTGATCAACACTTGCTAATACAATAACATGAGATCCGTGAACACGTTCACCGCTTTCCGGATGCTTTTGCTGTTTCGCACACAAGTGTAGCCGCTCTCTGTTCACGGTTAGAGGTCCGTTTTTACTAAGAAAACGTACTGCGGTACGCAGTCAAGTGTTCAAGGTTCAGGATTCGGAGGTGTTCAGGGTTCAGAGGTCCCCCCCAATGTTATAGCTTACGAGAGCTGCGCGTACGAAAAAAAGTGTTCAAGATTCGGGGTTGTTCAGGGTTCGGGGGTGTTCAAGATCGGAGGTTCCACTGTAGTCGTTTAAATAACAATAAGGCGAGAAATGAA